GTCTTTTTGGTATGACGCGGTCAGGGATCGAACCCGCGACCTTCCGCTCTCCGGGCGGACGCTCTAACCACTACACCACGGAGGCGGTCCTCAAGTAGGTGGACGTAGAGGAGAGTTTTTCCTTGGTTTCTCCTTGGTGGCTTGTGCAATCCGGCGGTACTTGCCGGTCAGCTCCTGACCCACAGACTCATACAGGGGAGTGGAAAACCGTCTTTGTATTTTGGCCATATTTCTCCACCATGCCTTCAGAAAGAAATGTGGATTCGAGTGAGTGAGTGTGTGGGTGGGTGAGTGGGGTGAGTGAGTGAGTTTTAGTTTTACGCCGCTTTTAGCAATATTGCAGCAATATCGCGGATGGGGACACCAGAAATGGGCTTCACACACAGTACCCATATGAGGAATCGAACCCCGGCGTGATGAGCGACCTCTTTAACCACAACACTAAGCCACTGCCACTGCCACTGAACTCAAATGAGAAATTGGAATTGCCGGCATTTATATGTAACAGATGAGATGTCTAAATAACAACATATCAGCCGTATTGCCCGGCTACTAAACTGGTACGGAATGAATACAGGCAAATGCTCGAAACTTCAATAGACGGAGCCTAGTTTATTTTAGAGTTACGTCCCCTGATGTGATAAAAAGGTAATGATATGATAGTTTTCCTTTCGCCATTCATATTACCCGAGACTACCATATCAGCCCGAGGGGACCTTCTCTGTCATGTAATAACCTCTCAATCTCAAATTGATATAAGGTGGCCGCAATATGCAATACTGAGTTGCGTCCCTTTGGCAAAGCAGAAACCTACGATTTGAGTTCGAATCACGGTTCCCCACGATCATGCCCGCACCTTACCCGTGCTCGTGGATTTCCCCAAAGTAGAAACCGTCTTAATAGCGTCGTGGCTTTAAGCCATATGCCAGCAATATCACGGCGGGCTTTGCACATTGCACATGTGGTGAATAGAACCCAGGTTCGAGTCCGTTGGCGACATGGTTTCTCAGACATGTGTCTTTCACCTGTGTGGCAAAATACAAATTAGTTCTCTTTGGTTTTAAGATAACGTAGGCATGAACAATAGCCATTCGTGAATACAATTGGATAGCTAAATAATGATATCACCTGCGTGTTTCAGGAGTCAGTGTACATATCATGTAACATTTTATTTCAATTAATGAACTGTGGTACTACAGCTGCCTGCAGGCGATTTCTATCTCCTTCTCAGTATCTTGAACAGGTGTTGGGCTCTATATATTTACGCCTGGTTTCTGATTAATCGATCCCGTATTAGTGGATTGACCGAGGGCGCACGTGTCACTGTGGATGATGAAGACTAACAATACTTGTGGCTCAGAGCATTTGACGACCTTTCCTTGAACTGTCAGTTATCTGGTCCATGTGGAAAGCTTCGTGTGTTTTGGCTGTAGGTTTTGGTTCCAAATAGAAAGTCTCTGTTCTGGAATTAAGACATACCCTGGGGAAATTTCCTAGGAAATCTCTCAAATTCCAGGTATTTTCTTTAGAAAATCCATCTAACTATATATAATTTCTATATATCTGTCACAAGGATATCGTGTATATCCTCTGTCATGGGAGTATATCCTACTAAATCACTCTGCCCAAGGATATTCTACGGCAAGTCATTTCGTCCCAAGACTATATATTTGTTTAAAAACACCCTCCTGTCTCAGGGATATTCGATATCAAATAACTTTGTCCCAAGGTATTCTGCAGAAAGTCCCGATGTCCCAGGTGTGTGTGTGTGTGTGTGTGTGTGTGTGTGTGTGTGTGTGTGTGTTTTATTTAAATACATCATAATGTCTCATTTATATACGTGGCGGTGAGGTAGCCTAGTGGTTAAAGCGTTCGTTCGTCACGCTGAAGACCCGGGTTCGACCCCCACATGGGTACAATGTGTGAAGCCCATTTCTGGTGTCCTCCGCCGTGATATTTCTGGAATATTGCTAAAAGCGGCGTAAAACCATACTCACTAACTCACTTATTTATATTCTATCAAACTTCTGGAGATACCCAACTGAATCTCTCGTTAATGCCGTAGACGTGCAAGATATATATTATGTCCGCTTCCAAGGGTTCATGAATACATGCAATTGTTGACAGATGTTGTGTCAGATGTTTCTTTCGATACATAACACAGACAAAGCACCCTTGCATGACTGAGAAAATACAACAGATATATCTATAAGAGAGACTTTATATTTGCAATCAACCCATAGGGTCTTCAGTGCTATTTTACTGGAGCTTCCTTTAACCTTGCGCCGATAGACCCATATCTGTCTTGGGCTGGATCAGTCAAACTATTTCGCAAACCGTGAGGCATACATACGACATTATTGAACAGTTACTATAGATTATGTTATAGTATCCGTCTCTATACGGACCTGTGGGAATAGACGCAATTCGGACAGAGATGTATTCAGGACTCAGTGTTCAGAGTTGCGTCCCTTAGTCCTGACATGATCCTGTGTCCGTGTGTTCAAATCCAGTATTCATCCTGATTTTAATACTTGGTTATCACCCTGATCATTGGATCGTCTTAAGTGTTCTGCGCCTCTTTGGTATTTCCCCGACATATACATGAATTAGGGGTGTTAAACCCAACTCACTCACTAACACAAATGAAACAAACGAGAGGTAAAATTGTAATTCTTTATTTTGATTTTCTCTCATTTCTATCTTGACACAAGACCAAGATATGTGGACTTGTGTCAGCCTAGCCACCCCATACACAATTTAATGGACGAACAGTCACGTGGCGATCCAGTATCGGATCACATTGTAAACCCTTATGTCGTTTGATTAGAACATATGTTTCCTAGTCAGTTAAATCCTAAAATACTCTTTGCACTGGCTGTGTTACTGTAAAACCCCGTTATTCCTACAACCACATTTACAGCCTTCCAAATTTGAGTAAATTAGACTGGGTTTTCTGTTTGCTGTTTATCGTTCAGATCAAGAAAATATACTGAACATTATTGAAAACGCACCAGTCTAAAATTGTCCATATTGTCATCAAGATGTATTTCAGCATGACAATGATCAATGAATATAACTAACATGAAGTCGAAGGGCATGTCCAGTTTAAAATATGCTTTAGAAACAAATTCCTGTCCACAGTATGACTCTTAATTCCAAAATGCATCAACATGCAGCCACGCCATGAAAAAAGCGCGAATTTTATCTGAAATCATACTCACTGTGACATTAAGAGCAGATATATGAGAACCGATTCTCATTGCTTCACTAACGATTGTGAAACGAGGACAGAGATGCCGAGGTTAACACCTCACGAAAGAGAACGTGCACTAGGCATGATTCAGGTTGGCACCAGCAGCAGGGATATTGCTCGACAACTTGGACTTGGCCACTCCACCATCGTTAGGCTTCATAGACGACATCAGTAGACAGGCAGCACCCGTGACCTTCAATGACCTTGGCAACAACGTGTTACGACGCTCCATCAGGATCGCCATATTGACCTTGTCCATATCAGTGATTGAACACTGCCGACTGCCAGGACTGCTGCACTAGTTCAAGGTTGACGTGGGGGTCATCAGCGCTGACTCCATGCGACACCGTCTATACGCTACAGGGCTCCATGCTCGACGTCCTTACGTTGGACCAATTCTGACTGACAGACACCGCAATGAGCGTATACAATGGGCTAGCAGGCATTTTCAGTAAAGGTTACAACAATGGCATGGTGTGGTAGTCACTGACGAGTCACGTCTTCATCTAGGTAATGCTGACGGACGATTACGTGTTTGGCGTAGACGTGGTGAACGTTATGCTGATGAGTGTTTGGTTCAGACAGACCTCTGGGTGGTGGGAGTGTCATGGTCTGGGTCGGAATAAATTACAATCACAGGACTGCCTTCATGTCTGTCAAGGGAGAGTTAATGCCCTTTATTACCGCGAGCAGATTCTTTAGAATCACATCGTATCTGTCTTCAATCACCACCAAGATGTCTATACTTTTCAACAGGACAATGCAGGGGCACACACAACAAGACTTTCCCTGCAGTATCTGGCCCAGCAACACATCCAGGTTATTCATTGGCCAGCACAGTCGCCAGATGTATCCCCAATGGAGCACTTGTGGGACGAAATTGGTAAAAGTCTTTCGCGGCGACAAAGATGCGAAACATCCGGGAACTTGAGGCTGCACTACTGCAGAAGTGGAATGCCATCCTCAAGAACTCTATTCGGAACGCTTATTGACTCAATGAGGAGACGTTGAACTGCATGTGTCAATGCAAATGGCGGTCACACGCGATATTGACTTTTCGATTTGACCCCACGTGTGTTTGATCCTTTCTGACTGTGGAACATTTCAATGAATGAGCGTCTTTTCTGTGTTGTTGTTTTAGTCAGTCGTCCATCTGTTGGCCACTCAAAAATATCAATTCTTTACACGTGCTTTTAACAATCTGAACTTTTATAAGTGGTGCTTTTTCAATGATGTTCAGTATATTTCCATGGAAATGAAAACAGCGAAACAACACCACGTGATTTGAATGGAATATTTTTTGGGAAAATAATTGTAATATCTCCCTGTTTCACATGGTGTTACGATTTATATCACTGGAGACATTTTTATTACGGTATGCAGATCAATTTGTGTGATTTCTGAAAAGAATTAATCATCGGGTAAAAAGAGCCAAAATAAAAAAAGTTTTTATGGAATGACAAGCCAGTGGGTTATTTCACATCTCATTGACTTTGATCCTTTACATTACTATAACTGTCCAGCCTCACTTTTAAATTTGCGAAATTTTGGGTCAGTGAACAGGTAAATTGTGTAAGTATTATTCAAAGCAATTGTGAATGAAAAGGCTACTGTTTTGTTAACATGAAATGTCTCAACTTCAATTTAGTAAAACAAGGAAATGCCACATATTTATTAGCGAGACGTGGGGAATAATAGCACTGGGTAGTTCTGGACTAGAGACGGACTCGTAAAGGCTTTAATCTACCTTGTGTAAACAAGGTTTAATAAGGAACGACAATCTAGTTAAACATCATCTCGTTTACATCCATGGCCAATGTGTACTGCCTAAACATGAACCACGTGTCTGTATAAACGTACACACCGTATTTCCTCAACGTGGGAACTCACACATGCCGTATGTTGATGTGATAGGGATAATTAATTCATATCAAATGATGGACCCGGGGTCCATTGGAGACAAGGGTCACGATCCAAAAAACGTTCGTAACGTTACAACCTGTCGTAACTCTGTGGTTTACCATAGGCTGGCGAATGTCGTAACGCTACGAAAGCTTTGTGGATCCGGGACCAGGCTCGACGGTCCGACTTCAATTAGGGCAACTGGCAATGGTACTCGATCACCGCCTTTAATTGAGGAAATACGGTGCATGTTGATATTTATACTTCCTACAGTGAAACCTGTTTACGCCTATGTTCAGAGTACTATAGCATCTATTTAGCTATCAGTAATAGGAAATACACTGATTGTCCATTGTCACATGCTATGCAGCCTATAGACTCTCTATTGACTAGGTGAATGCTGTTTTACACGGTAGACAGCAAGACACAAAGATCTGGAGGACTTATAAAAATCGTCGCTAAATAACCGCTTTGGGGCAACAAGGTTTCACTGCAGGTAAACTCGTTTCCAAAATTTAAAATTCGCTTTCAGTGTGTCTTCTAACGTAAATTATTGAAAATACTTGGTTAATCCGCCATCTTGAAAATTCAGTAAGTCGATGGAATAAAGCCTCCGACATTTTATACATGGCACACAGGTCTCACAAGAGTCTATTGTCAGTCTTTACAATGACATACAAAACCTGTCACACACCCTGAGTGTTTGAACCACACTGGAGAGGGTTCCAAAATCAACTTGATAGCGAGGATATCTTTCGGCTCACATCGGAAGTGTGTGATTTTGTAAAGAAATCACGGACATGAATCGAAATCCTTACTGAAAAAAATCTCTCAGAAATTAAATTGTTCACTGCGTACAAAACATTTGGCAACATTGGTCTGTCAGTTTCAGCGACGGGTGTCACCAGGTCTAATGAGAATATTTACGCATGCGCACTATGTAAACAACCACCAATGACCACTCGTTCCATTCCGAACGGGCACGTTACATTTGACGGAATGGGACGAGTGGTGCCGAATGCAGTCAACTCGGTTTTTGCATCTTTCGCTTCCTCTGAATCTTTTCCTTGAGTGAGGGGGCTAGTTTGACAGTGGAGGGTCTGTCGTAGATCTCCTCGATCTTCTCCGGACTAGTTTTGAAGGTGTGTATAATCTCCAACTGCAGAAGCTGGCCAGACAGATCCGTCACCTCATGCTCCAACTTACTCAAATTCTCGCTGAACTTATCCATATCACATTTCAAGGAGCTGTACGATTTCTCACCCACTTCAACCTTCTCCTCCAGGAGTACCTTTTCCTGCGCCTTCACCACGATATCGTCCTCAATCTTGGTCAATTCTTTTTCAATTTCTCCCAGAAACTGTTCCAGTTCTTTAACCTGCCTCAAAAGCTTGGATCTCTTCATCTGTAGTGCGTAATTCCGTTTCGTTTGCGAAAGTGTAATTTTTAGAAAGTCTACCATGCTTTCCTTCTGTTGTTTTTCCACATGTTTACACTTCTTCTCGTTCTGAGTCCCTTCCAGCTGTCCCTCTAGACAGTTCAGCTCTGTCTCAATCTTCTGAAGCTTTTCCCGGTTGTTCTGGAGCATGAGGTAAGAAGATTTCACGGTTTTCCCAATTCTCTTATGCTTCAGTTTCTGGCTGCGCAGATCGTCTTCCCGCCTTTTCGTGATGGATCTCGTCTGCTTGATGTAGTTGTTGATCTCGTACATGTAAGTCTCGTCTCGCTGAATCCACTGACGCGCGAGATCACACATGGTTTCAATCTTGGAAGTCACGTCACTCACGAACCTCAGAATAGGAAAGGCTTTGAGATCACAGGAAACAAGAATCCTTTCTGAAAACCCGGTTGTGTCGTATAAATCTTGATGAAGGCCGCCATTGAAACTTTTAACAAGAATCTGAGTGTTCGTCAGGATTTTTTCTATACTAGTCAGATAGCCTGATATATCGTCCGTATATTTAACACTGACGTCTAACTGAACGGTGGAATCGTGGTAACTGATACAATTCATTTTGAGTCTGTTGAGGACGGTCTGTTGAAACGTGTGAAGAAGAGCTCTAAGGCTGTCGGTCGTTGACTTCACATTGTCCCAGTATTCAGTTAAGAACATGATGGTGTCAGGGTCACCTGCCAACTCCCTCAGCTGGTTCAGGAGGGTCACAATCCTCATCTCGGCGTCTATCACCTCAAGTTTCTGATTATGTTTTCGCAAATCATTGTTGCCCTGAAGAAAATTACTGTCACACCGCTTTAGGTACTCCTCGAAGCTGTCGTCTGATACCTCTTTACATTGGTAGTACGTGACCTTGACATTAGTAAGCTCGACCTCGACCTCGTTGATCTTGCCCTGAAGAAACTCCAGCCCTTCAAGATAAACCCTCTGTAATCCAGTCCGTTCTGTCATCGCTGGTTTAGGAGAGTCCTGCGAATAGAAGAAGCATAGTTATATTCTCTGACTTTGGCCACCACAACTAAATTGTGTAGCCCACCAGGACTCTCAGTGAGGGAATGTTTTGTACGCCGCAGACAGCCATACATCAACCATATATCACGTCAATCGGTAAATAATTAGAATTGACCGTGCCGTTGTTCCACAAAATGATCTTAGTGCTGAGTGGATCGTAACTCCTACTCTTAAACATAGGCTTAAGCTGAGGTGCGCTACGACCCTCGACATCAGCTAAGTCAACGAGACTGACCACCCAATCCCCATTATAATCGACTCTAATAGCCAAATGATCGACCGGAAGAAACTAAGGCTAACACGTGAACTATATAATCGACCAGAGGCAACACAATCGCGACGATGACTTTCCAAATATAATTGGTACTGATAAAAGCTAATGCTTAAGCGATCATATACGCTCGCGCAATGTATAATTCATAACCATCTGGTGGTTAATATCCATTAATATATGGGGATTGCCTCAGTTTTACGTCCGCAAGGTGCTAATGTCACAGACTAAGCTAAATGGACAATCGACCGTAGGGCATAATAATATTAACTGCCAGGCAAAGAATACACCTGTATTCGATTTTTTTCAGCGACCCATGGCGCCTAAAAAACAAACAAAAAACAAAAAGGAAATGGTTATTCTATGGTGATGTGTTTGATATGGGCACCAACATTGCGTTTTGGACCATACGTTTGCAGTAATGTGGCGACTGTCCTCTGCCTACAAACATGGGAATGTTTAATAACGTTTGTAATTCTTTTTGTCAAATATAAGTTTGAAGTGAAGTGAGTGAGTGAGTTTAGTTTTACGCCGCACTTTACGCCGCCGTCGAGTCTGGACCAGACAATCCAGTGATCAACAGCATGAGCATCGATCTACGCAACTGGGAACCGATGACATGTGTAAACCAAGTCAGCGAGCCTGACCTCCCGATCCTGTTAGTCGCCTGTCAGACAAGCATGGGCTGCTGAAGATCGATTCTAACCCGGATCTTCACGGGTGTCTCAAGTGTAAACCCTTTAGCCCCGCAGTTGATAAATACAGTCAAACACCGTTGTGACGAACTTTGATATGTCGAAATTGTGTCTCCAGGTAAATTCTGGGTCCCTTAATATTCTTTATTCATTAATATATTTTCGGTCGTGTTGAACCTACAATAACTCGAATTATTTACGCATGCAGGGTGGGTGATCAGACCAGCTGACGTAATGCTTAATGCTGACTAATGACTTAATGTTAATGCTTGTCATCGTATCCTACATCAGTATAACGATGCTCATGATGTCAGTCATTGGATTGTCTGGTCCTGACTCAATTTCATACATGACGTCGTACAGCTGTAATACTGGCGAGCACGGCGTTAAACAACAAACAAACAAACATGCCATTCCCCTACACAGATCCAGCTCCCTGACAGAAAGGTCAGGCCACCATGACCTTGAACCACCTTCCTGCATGGCGTGGCCTTCTCTTTCAGTCACAATTTCACCCCACTTGTACTGATTTAAGTACCGCTTTGTTGCATGTTTGAGTGCTGCGCTGCGCTCAATAGACACATGACTGGTTCAGGCATAAAAACTAAGGTAAAAAGAATCGACGATAGAAATAGAACAGCGGAATGAGAATGGCAGTTTGGAATCAATGGCAGTTAAACCCACAGAGACCGGGTCTCTCGGGGCCTTTAGTACTGCTCTACAAACACCACGCACACATGAAAACCAGGGTAATGAATTATCAAAGTGGTTGAAACGGAATTATTACACACTTCCTGCAACGTCAAATCGCATTGAAACGAACATTGTGTGAGCGGGCGGAACCTGGGTGGGTTGGTTCTGATTTAGCGGCTGAGTGGTTGATATTGAGTGAGTTTAGTTTTACGCCGCTTTTAGCAATATTCCAGCAATATCACGGCGGGGTCAACAGAAAAGGGCTTCACACAGTGAACCCATATGGGGAATCGAACCGTCTTCGGCGTGATGAGCGAACGCTTTAACCACTAGGCTATCCCACCTAGTGTGGTTACGTGAGGGAGTGAATGGCTGAAAGAGTGTGCACGTATTTGTGGAAGGGAGGTGGGAGTAGAATAAGCACAGGGTGGTGTGGTGTTGGTGATTGGGTGACTGATCTGGCCGTCGGATGGGTCAATGAACTGTGTTTTACTCTTTCAAACAGGACGACTAGGACACCATCAATAGGCTTCACAAATTGTTCAAATCAAAGCTGTCAAACGCGGGACATTGGTGCAACTAGCACTGTACTCCTTGGGTAACCCATTTGCACCATGTCTCTTTAGCTGAACCATTGTAGGAATCGAACGCTAACCAATGTGCCACCAGAGTCTTCCCTTAGTACAGAGATACTCACATGTCAATAATACACTTATATGCAGGTAGACAACACAGGTTAAGGAGGGCTATCTACCAACGGGGTATGTTTTGAATACCTAGTGCTCTATTACAGAAAGGGGTAGCTTATCACAGCACAGTTGATCTGGTCGAGTTGTTCCAGCGGCGCCAGGACATATCAGCACGCTTTGATCCGAACCGGCAATCCGAGCTGTCAAACTCACAAAGAACCGTTATAAGCAAATCACTTCATCGCCGACACAATGGCGGCAGGGTCGCAGTCAATGTTCAACCACACCGTCGGGTAAGATTGGTTGCTGGTTGGTTTGTTGTTTAACACCGGACTCAGCAATCCAGTGATCAAGATTATAGGCATCGATCTGGACAGCTGGGATACGATGACATGTGTCAGCCAAGTCAGCGAGCCTTACCACCCGATCCCGTTAGTCGGCTCTTACGACAAGCAAGGGTTGCTGAAGACTCAAATATAACCCGGATCTTCATGGGCCTTGTCGGGTATGACAATAGCTAGATTGTTCACCTCTAAAGCATCAGGAATCGGTTCCCAAAGCGAAAAGACAATCTAAGGTGTCCGCTCTATATATACACTGACACCTCTTTCATCAGAATGGCAAACATCCTGGTGAAATCGTCCGCTTTAACGAAGGACGAGGTAGGACAAGGGTCCTTTTTGGCAAACTAAATATCATATCTTAACGTTGCCGAAAACTTGGAATTTTTACGTGATTAAGGCATGTTCAAATGGCTGAGAACTAGTATTTTCTTTTCTTACACGGGGTTAGTAGTTAAGGCGTTCGCTCGTCACGATGAAGCCTGGGTTCGATTCCCTATATGGTTACAATGTGTGAAGCCCATTTCTGCTGTCATTCCTGGAATATTGTTTAAAGCGGCGTAAAACTAAACCCACTCACTCTTTCTTACACATGCAAGTTTTCGACTCATGACAAGATGAAATATGAGTGAATAATAACGATTTGTCGCGCTACAAATAAGCCATCAATCAACTTTGTGATCTCAAAGCCTCTCCTAATCTGCCTGTGACCCAAATATATCATATTTTCCATGTGTATACTGTTTCTAATCAGCAGCTCTTTCGGAAGTCAGCTTCGGTCAAATGCCTCTCATGTTCAAATACCAGCAAAATATTTGTAAAAAAGCTCTAACACCAGCGTTTTTGATACATGCAGTTAGTGTTGCTGCAAGTCCAAGTCATACAACTGATAAAATCAATAACGTCTAAACCTTATTCATGTGACGTCCGTAATTTGTGAAAAACGGTTTTCTGTCATATTTGAAATTGTACGTATCCCATTGGCCAAAATATAGTCTATACCATACCTTTTCTTGTCCGGATTAGCATTTGTTGGTTTATTTACGCTTGTTATAGTATTTTTACTCCGGGTATGAAACTGCGCCCTGTAAGTATTAGAGTCTGGACCAGACAATCCAGTGATTATGCAGTCTACAATGATCCCTGCTGGAATCAACCAACGTCACGGAATCAACCAAGCGACCTTACGACAGCGTTTTACAATCAGCATAACATTCTTGGGACCTGTTCTAAGCTAGAGTCACAGGGGTCCTGATCAACAAATTACAGTTACGTGGTAGAGTCACTCTTAACTGTATTCGTCCGGAATATGAAGCTTTCCGGATTAGAAGGCATCAATTAACTGGGGTTCATTATACATGATTGTTATTTGGAATGTTTACTTCTCGTATTCACCCACTCACTCATCCACCCATCCACTCTCTCACTCACTCAACTGGGAATGCAAGACGAAATCGCATGGCCTTTGCTGTCACCTTCATCACTATTGGCCCTATTCTTCCTCCAAGCTGACACGCCATGATATAACTATAACGCTGTCCAAAGCAGTATTACTTATGCCAGCTTTACCTCGATTGACATTAAATCTAATCTATTAATGAAGCTGCGATTCGCTCGAGGCATCGAGGACCAATGACAAATGGCGGCCAGCGTCACAAAGGGTGGGCGGGTCCAGCTGTGACACTCAATTCTATTATGGTTCTTTTATTGTGTATACTAAAAGATAGGGGTTTAATTTGATTATTTGATTTTATATATCCTTATCTCTATGTTTAAGTTATGTAAATTTGTATCAGCATTTTGTAAATGTATGACAGCAACGTTATATTCAACTCACTCACAGAGTAATACCATAACAAAAACCTCCTCATCTAGGTCAGTAATTAGGTTACAACGACGACGACGACGAGGATGATGATAATGATCGAGTTTGGGATCGTTTTGTAATCACATGGTTTACCTGCATGTCAAAAGTCAGTTACCTCAACGCACAGCTGGGCAAAATGGAGTTTAATCTTTGGTATTGAGATTCATCTTGGCTGAACAAAGACGGCCTGAATTGGTGTAGTTTAGAGATTAAGATCCTTACAGCGACGAAGTGGTGGTGTACGTTACATAACTAGAACACATGCACTGACACAGCACTGTTCCAGAGTACTGTAAAACACACTCTTATTGTTTAACACAGCCCCTTGTCAGATTTGTCAGTCAGAGGACGTAATCATATAGATTTACAAGACTACATGTCAAATTGCATGACACGGCACAC